TTTTGTTTTGTTCGAGTGTCATTAACAGGAAGCAAGTTAGCCGTTCTTGCGGTTAAAGTGAATTTTGTAACTCGAGCTTGTCTACTTTCACGCACATCCCTCAGGAATATATATATATATATACGTGTATATATACGTGCGTCCAGCGAGAAGAGCTGGAAAGGAGCTCTCGTGATACGTGGCGACGAAAGGGAGAGGCAGGATAGGATAGGAAGAGGCAGTGCAACAGGGGGAAGAAGGTCGGTCGGTCGTAACGACGAATAGAATAGCGGCATAAAACGTCGCGAGGAAGGCGTGTTCGGTCCTCCGCAATTTCCCGGGGATCGTCGAACCCAGCTAGTCGGCTTATTAACTTTTATGAGAGAACAACGGGCGGACACAAGTGAGAAAGGGATAGGAGGAAAGGCGCGGACAGAAGGCGACCCAACGGCCATTTGCAGCTTGCAAAAATATCCTTTGCTGTTCGCTTACAATGGAATTATACACCGGGGAAATTTTTTTCTCGCAAGATTTATCGGGAAAAAGCACGATTTAATACGTGGCACGTTTCCCGATAATATTGGAACGTTTTTAACGACTTCACGTTTGTAACTTTCGATAATTATTCCAGCCTCTCGCGTGGAAGATGGAAGACGCGTGACAAAGGAAGCGTGAAACACAAGGTTCGAGTGGATGGAGGAACGGAGAGAGAGAGAGAGAGAGAGAGAAGTAAAGGTAAGCGCACGAAAAAGTTTGAACAGAGGAAGAAAAATTCTCGTCGCCTCGCTTTGAGTCGCGATGTCACGTCGATTCTTTGCCCTTCGCTTCCTACATTATCGCGAATTGGATACGCAATGGCGCGGCGTGACATTTTTCGCTCGAGACGTATACAACGTATTACCGTTTCTTCAAACAACGCATCTCTGTTTCGCATCCTCTGTATAATTTCTCCCTTGATCAAGGAGCACGGATGAATATGCGAATTCATGCACGCAACCGTGACGGAACCCGTCCTCGTTAAATCGACGCGCGTTTCGATTCCGGCCGAGAGATCTCCAATTATGTTAGGTATTCAGGCGAACGATTTCGTTAGTGTTTGATAAACAGTAGTTAGCAACGAGTCACGATAAAATCTGCCGAATCGTATCGAAACGATCGCGCTTTTAAATTAAAAGTCAATATAAGCGCCGCATTCCCCTGCGTGTCCAACGGATATCCGATCAATTCAACGCGCATTATGGAAATTTTCGCGTACAAAATTAACGCGATACTTCGCGTACGCGATGTTCGTTCCCATCTCTTTTTTTTTTTTATTCTCTCAAATGGGAGAACCAGTTTCGAGCCAGTTTCGTAGATTAACGCGTTCGCGAGTATTCTCGCGAAAAAATATACTGGATCTTTTTCTTTTGTTCTTGAGAATGTGCTCGCGAAGGGAGCGAAAAGAAGAAAAAGATGGTGGAATGGATGAAGAAAGAGAGAGGAAGGAAGGAAGGAAGAGAACGGAACAATGGTGTTCGGCCAATTACGTAGTTTCACCGGCAACGTCGACGAGGGCGCAGCAATCTTCTTTCATTCCTTGTATCGTGGGCAAAGAAGAGAGAGCATGGCCGATTGCCGAAAAATTCTTCTAGAAAATTTGCGCACTGTGAAAGGAGAGCCGGATCAAAAGATATATTTTGGTTGGTGGAGAGAATGGTAGGCATCAATTTCCACTACGGATATTCTCGCAGCGCCCTATCGTTTATTTTGATTTGCAGGATTCGTTATCGGGCACTCCTCTCCCCCTCGCTCCTCTCGGTTACGTCGAGGCTGCTCGGGATTAAGAGATTTCGTAACGTGGAATTTATGGTATGGGTTTCTTCACTTCTGCTAGGACTTCATAAATATATACGGATAGTTGGCGGACGGACGAACAGTTGTTTCGTGGACATGGCGCATCTCGTTTGTCGTTAACTCGTTACCTCCATTTCTTTTTTCTACGTTCATGTTCATAAAAAGTGAAACAATGTGACGCTCTCTACGCCTCTCTGTTTTAGGAAACAGGCGTTATCGATAAGGGGAGAAAAATCCAATAGAACCGCTGTTCGAAAAGTCGTTTTCGATACATCCGAAGATACGAGATATATTTTGTCGAGTTGGCGAGTGTCTGACCAGATTATGGATCGATGGTATGTTTCACGCATCGCTACATCAGCGAATTTTCTAATCTCTACGTTTATATTCTTAAATCTGAAATTGACTCTGTTTGAAATCTTTGAAATTGCGAAATTAAAAATTCGAATCGAACAACGAATTGTAACGTTATAACGTCGGATAAAATAAAAGGCACGCGATGCAAGTAAACAGATATCGGTCTGGAACAATCAGATTTGTGCTTAGTTTATCGCGCGAGGTGAACGAAATCGTGAAACGTTTTGCTCTCCAACGTTTTCTATGGAAAAATTCTTCCAAATCGTTTACAACGGTTACGCAAACATCCGATCGGATTATCGATGAAGCGTATAGCATCGAAAGGTGTTTACTTTACATTGGTACAAGGACGGAACAAAGAAAGGGAAAAGTAGGACGACGAAATGGAAAATTAAAGGGGGCGAGTCACAGTGGGTCGACAACGAAGGCGAAGGAAGAGGATGGTGGAATCTTTGGGAATACGGGGATGGAAGGAAATCTTTATATATACGTGTAATGTATTTTTCTTCCTTCGTCTTCGACGATCCTCGTATTTACTTGTCTGGAATCGTGCTCCGTGGCGCGGAATTATCGAGGACGGTAAATATAAAGAGTATCGAAAACCACTCGAACCAAAGGGGGAATAAAGTGGGATAAATGCGTAGAGGGTGGACGGACGAAACGAAGAAACAGGTACTGGTGTGTCCCAAGATAATTAAGCAACGTACTATATAGCGAAGCGAAGAAAAAACGAGGAAAAAGTAGAAGGCTACGAGGTTGTAGGAGGAGGAGGTGTTGGATCAAGGGAATTGACCGAGTCGTCTCTGCCTTAGCATCCTTTACTTCGTTCCACGAATGCGGTTAGAGCGTGTCGCTGCTTGCTTTTAAATCGAATCGACGAAGAAACCGTTCGTCGTTAATTTAATAAAACTATCAGCCACGACGTACATTTTAACGAGCCTCTACCTGTTGTTCTCCCTTCCATTGAATTTATTCGTGTCGCGAACGTAGAACAAACGGAATCGAATAGCCGTTGCGACCAAGTGAACAGGATAAAATTGTAAAATGGAATATATTTAATAGATCAAGGTTTTTTTATACATACACTTGTACGTAGATTGTTGAAAATTGTGATCATCTTTAAAATAATCGTAATAAATCGTAAATAACGCGCGTATAGATTTAACAATGAATGGTTTAAACGGATTCTTATTAACACTAACGTTTGATTTTCGTTGACGTTATATAATTCGCTTAAATAATACATTGTCGTGAGTGAAGAACATTTGTGTTTTAATTTAAAAGATATAAAAGATAAAAAATTTTTAACTCTTGATACATTACGTACGAAGAAAATAAATTTTTCTTGCATTTTGTGACTTGTATTACGTAATTGAATTTCTTATTTAAAAAAAAAAAGTTTTTTGAGATATTTAAAAAAATATGTTTTTTAACACTCCATTTTGGAGAATGATTTCACTCATTCAAAGTGAATATCAACTGATAAAAAAAAATATTCAATTTTTATCAATTTTTTTTTTTTTTTTGTAGAACTATTTTCTGTATAAATTTCATCAGAATCAGAGATGTGTGCAGATTTCGATACGTTCTTTTTTAAAATGCCAGTTCAAACGTGAATTTGCACCAATAGTATCAGTTGATTAATAATATCAGTTCATATTGTAAGTAAATGCGAATATAGATTAACTTTACTTAAATTTCAAATCATGTTACATAAAATGATTATCATTTCGTTATATAACTTATTTATTTGTATCATTGAAGATATGATAAAATTGTTATCACAAATATAGTATTATAATTAATTGTGATATTTCGTTTTATTAATTTTAATCATTAAATTTTTATCATGTATAATTCGCGTATAATTTTTCATAATCTCGTTATATAATTTATTCATTTTTAATTTTTATTTTTAATCGAAAATGCGATAAATTGTACCATGCAATGATACGCATGCAAAATATTGAAAAAAATTTTCTTTAAGATAATTTTTCTTTCTCAAAAGCTAATGTTAAATTTCTGTCTATATGTGTCGTTTTATCATCATTCAGATTATTATGATGTAATCAATTGATCAATTAAAGAACTGTATAAATGACAGGATGAATAATCATTGTAATATGTAGGAATGATCAATGTGTACAAAAAAAAAAAATACGTTGATTCTATTATTAGAATCCAGGATCAATAAGAATTTCAACTTTTGAAGAGTTCAAAGGAAATATTGACGGAACAATATCGAGAAGCAATATCTCCTAAAAATTTTTCGATGGATCGTGAAATAAGATTGTGAAATATCAATATATAACCTCAAAATATATATATACATATATATATATATGTCTATGTCTTATATATACATATATATATATATGTCTGTCTTATAAATACTTTCTTACCAATTGTCTTTCACTGTGTTATTTACGACTTATAAAATCACGACACAGATATATTTCGATTCTATCGTGACGATAGCGATGACGCTTTGTTCACGTTCATTGCTTTAGATTGGTCGTAGCTTACGGCGAGTGTTATTTTTGTCGTATATATATCTCTAATAGTTCTGTCTGCGTTATGTATGTACACTTGTTTCTTTATAATTTGTCCTTTTCCTATTGCCAAGGGCGTGCAAGAGGCTATTTTTATTTCACTTAATTTCGGGAAATTACAAACGATCGAATATACGAAACATGACAAATGAAGTAACAAATCCAATGACGAACTACACGTATACACTAATACTTGTTTGTTTTTGTTACCACATACATATCTTCTAAAGAGGAAGAAAGCCAGTATATCTAGCGTCGTCGAACTGTGAACATCTAACTATGAGGATTAATCAAGCTCGAATCATCTTTTTACTTATCCTCGCGATAAATCTATTATGGTGTTCAAATGCTAATAATTCTACCTCGTCTGAAAAGAGCCGGCTGAAAATTCTGGCAATCTTTCCTCATATGGGCAAGAGCCATTTCTTCGTATTCAAACCTCTCATCGAAGAGTTAGCACGTCGAGGCAACGAGTTAACGGTGATTTCTTATTTTCCGAGGACCGAGAAGAACGAACATCTTCCCACTTACAAGGATATCAGTTTGGTGAATAATGAGAGTGACGTGTTTGTAAACGTTGTCGATTTGAAAGAATTTGAACAGACGATTTATATATATAAATATTTTATGAATATATACATGTTGTACAACATGAATTCCATAGCCTGTGAAAATTTAAGGCATCCAGCTGTAAAGGAACTGGGCGAAAATGGGGAAAAGTTCGACTTGGTGCTGATAGAGAATTTCAATACTAATTGTTTCATGGGCCTTGTGCACAAATTGAACGTGCCCTTCATAGATATATCTACCCATCAGCCAATGCCGTGGGCTATACATAATTTGAGACTTCACAACGAAGCCAGTTTCATACCTATGGTATTGACCTCGATTCCAAAACCGATGAATCTTTTTCATCGAACGATGAACACGTTATCGTTTTATGTCTCAACCGCGCTATATTACACATTTTTCCATTGGAAGGATCAATCTATAGTTGAAGAAATTTACGGCCCGGATATTCCGAATGTGATAACGATAAACAAGAACACGTCCCTTTTTTTCATTAACACGCATTACACCCTTCAAGGTGGCATCTCGTATCCGCCGAATACCATCGAAGTGGGCGGAATTCACATTGAATCGAAAAGAAAACCTTTGCCACGGAACATAGCCAAGTTTCTCGACGAGGCTCACGAGGGTGTTTTGTATTTCAATCTCGGCTCGATGATCAAAATGTCTACGATGCCGAAGAATAAATTGAATATATTGATCAAAGTGTTTCGTTCCATTCCTAGAAAAGTGATTTGGAAATGGGAACAGGATGACATTCCGGAATTACCTGGTAACGTCATGGTCCAGAAATGGCTGCCTCAGTACGACATATTAAGTGAGTTAACGACATTTATCTCTCTCATTGTTTTGAAATAATTGCGAGATCGAGATCTTATGTTATATTACGATATTTGGAAGTGGTAGGTATAGTAGGTGATCTATCGTTGCAATTATATAGAGCAAAAACTCGATGCCTCCGGTATCTCGATGACATCTATGTTACATGTGAAAGTAATGGGTTGTATTTGATACACGATATTCGTTTTATCGAGAATCGTAATCGCGTTTTATCGATACATTTCTTTTCGATTTCACACGTAAAAAAAAAAAAAAAAAAAAAAAAAAAAAAACAAAATTATATCTATATTCATTTATCGTGTCTCTGTTTGTAAACGAGAGTATTTAAAAAAATATTTTATAAATACTTATCCTTTGCTTCTTTTGTCGAATTTATTTCATCGAATTGTATCGTTAACTTCTATTCTCGAAGAGAATCTTTATTTGCTTTTTTCTTTATTTCCATATAAAAGAGGCATTTATAGGTACGTGATAGGTTATCTCGTTATAAGATAAAGCTTCTAAAAGTTTTGCCTCTACTGTAATAATACTCAATAATCGATACGTTTTTCATTTAAAATTGAACAAATCGAATTTAAATTATTCACGTATATCTGTTTCTTATCAAATTTATGTATCTATCATTTTTTCCTCCAATTTATTCATAAATATTGCCACGAATATAATAATTATAATAATTAAGATAATAACGAGATATAATTTTATGCGTTTCATAATGTTATGCTATATTAAATATAATATGCTATATAAAATATGCTATATTAAACGTTTTAAATACTTAATCTTTGTTCACTTAATTTGTTATATGTACATAAATGATCATCTAATGAATCTGATTTGAAGAATTGTAAAGTCACTTTATTTTTTTATGCATATTTCATATTAAGAAATCATTAATTATTCATTTGAAGATAAGATTTGCAATAAGTTATTAATCAATTCATACGTATAATAATGTATAATTTATACTTGTTCTAATCACAGAAACTTGAAACAGATTTTTCCTTCTTCGTTTAATGAATTTTTTTTTTTTTACTTACTACTACTACTACTACTACTACTACGATTTTCATTCGATTCACACATCTTGGTTCGATACGATCTATTATCCGGCTGGCGACACGAGCCGAGAAATCTCGAAATCGAGATTGAAATTCCGCCGGTTCCATCGAACTAATCGAAACGACACGGTCTTGGTGGAAATCGCAGCGAAATATCGAAAGCGGATTTCGGCTCGGTCGATATTTGCGATTCCGGCCCATGAAGCCGAACGTCAAATAGTTTTCAAAGTTTCAAAACGGTTTGCATAGTCGAGAAGCTTTCGATCCGTTCAAAATGATATCTATCTCGTCATTGTGATGTCTATATATCGCGTTTGATATCTATCGCCGTATAATCGCCGTGCACGTCTCGTTACGAATTATTTTTCGATCTTGTGACATCATCGCGATGCTCTCCGCACGATTTGTTGACTCGAGTTAAGACATGTTGCAAACCAAACGTTGGTGTCGTACGAAAGTGTTAACTAAAATATTCTATTTTCTCTTAACACCGATAGTAAAAAGCAATACAATAATAAAAACTCGAATGAAAAAAGAGAAAATTTGAATAAACATCGTCACCGAATACGAAGATGTTAACCTCGTCGCAACGTGATTCCTCGTAAAACGTTTTACTACTATTATCCGACTGTATCTTGATCGTTTGAAATCTTCGAGTGTTCGGGTCGAGTCGAGTTTAACGCTTTTTTGACAACACGCAACGTTGACCGGATTCAACGTTGACAAAATGGTAATCGTCGTGGCGGAAATAGGTTAACTAACCTCTTCGCGTGGAACCACGATGGTTTAAGCGCGAGACAATCTCGAATACTCGGTCGGTCATGGCAAGGATGTTCTTTCGACGAGTTGCTCGGCCAAGGACGAGACGCGGGACCACGGGAACTCTGACAGTAAGTAGTTTCGCAGCTCTCAGCCGCTGTCGAGCGAAATGACTTTAATTAGCAACTCGCTAACGACCTGCTGGCAACATAAATCACCGTTAAAATCTCCGGTGAAATAGACCTCGCATTGTTTCTGTCGCTTTCTACGCCGTTATCTTATACGCCGCAACTATATAGTCTGTAATTTGAATTGGACGCTAATCCGATTAACGTTTAGTTGCATCGATTCTTATTCGATTACCGTGCACGAAATATTTACACGGTATATATATATATATAGTTGGAAAGAAGCGAGATTTTTACATTTTCTAATACGAATCGTTTGATATTTTTGTGTAAAATTTTTTGCATTTGTTCGAATCTTCGAAATCGTTCGTTTTATCTCGAAAAGAACGACGCGTACACAGGACAACGATTACGAAACGTTTTAATACATATTTACTTCGATCGTGTTTCATTGACAAATGGAAAAAAAAAAAAACAAAAATCTTCATTTACAAATGTACATAATCATCATGATTTCCCTTTTCGTATGATTTTTCTTCCTGTATGCCTATTCATTCATCAACATATAAACACTTATGTCATCGTATTGCGAGATATTGCATAACTAGATATAACTTCTTGTTTGCGCTACTATTTTTCAATCTCTTTCATAAGCTTCATGAGTAATAAAATGAAACGATCTAATGATATAATGCACTCTACGTATCGCGAAGTAGAGCTCTATAGGAATGATAATCGACGATTTCCTCGAAAGCTTCTCGAATCTCGAAGCTACTTTCTAAGTATTATCGTTCTTAAACGGGAAACGATAAGTATTGAAAAAACGACGGTCGAATTTTTCGACGGCTCGAAGGATCGCGTAACACGAATCGCAGAACAGCCTCGATGGTCAAGATAATCCAAGCTAGAACTCTGGCTGGGTAACCCGAGGAGGCTGGAATCGATCGGCTTAATTTTATTATCCAGCTTCGTGACCGGTGTATCTTCCCCCCTCGTCTTCTTTCCGCGCCCGTCCCCCGTTCTTCGTGATCTCGATAAGATCTGCGGCTTACGTTTCTCTATCATTTACACGCACGCTTTAAAAGTGCGCACGCGATGACGCATTTTCGCGTTTTGTATCACCGGCGCTAAATCCACACCTCCAATTTTCTCCGCGTCCGGCGGCTTGAATTACCGATGGTTATACATATGTTTATATTTTTAAAATCATACTTTAAATTGGATGACCGGGAAGAGGCTACATAATACTGTTATTAAAAATATTATTTTTCATAATAAGTCTCTATATATATAAAAAAAAAAAAAAGCAAATTCGTCAAACAAAAATTAACGATAATTTCACAAAATTATTCAAACGATAACAATAATAATTTGGGCACTTAGTGTGATAAACTAAATGCAAGCCATTGATAACGTAACAACGTAACAAACAAATTGAGTCGAACAACTTGTATAGACGTCGAAAAAGTGCGCCTCGTTGTGAAACGTGTTAAAAAAATCGCGAGAAATAAACGAACAAATAGACCAAAAGAAAAAAGAAAAAAAAAAAAAAAGAAAAACTTATCTATACCCGTTTAATCCGCATTTGTTTGATCGCATTCTTGTTCCTTTTATTCCTACCGATAATTTTCAACAATTTTGTTAAACAATATAGATTATAGATTATCGGGCGCTCTGGACTTAAATTTAACTATATAGATTCTCGCGCGGCAAACTCGCGCGTATCGCCGAGTAGTTTACTTACCTACTGTTTTATCCTTTCAAGAGCGGTTTACTCGGGGAAGATCGCGTCCGCGTAAACAGAATCCGGAACACACGATACACATACGCAAACGCGCATACGATCCCACGCGTCGCGTTTGCGATCGATCTTGTCAATTCGCGTGGAACTCGCTAATGTAATTGACTTTAGAAGCAACGATATCGATGGTACCGGGTTGCTTGTACCGGTGTTGACACGCAATGCCCTCGAGTATCGTATTTAACCGTGTAACGGAAGGGACGAAACGATAGATTACATTACCGTAAGGAATAAAAGAGCGGAATCGTTCTATCGGGTGTCCCACTCTCCCGGTATCCATTAAGAAATGGGGGGTACACCTTCTTTTCCGGTTTTACGATCCTATTGGATTAAGTCGGTCGGCGGTTGTAATGCTAACTCGATGCTTCCAGATGATACGATGATGTATATATATATATATATACATTTCCGATTCGACTCGTCTGGTTGATTTATATTCGAAGAAGACGATTCGATTAATTATCGATGAATTTAAAAAAGAAAAAGAAAGGAGAAAGGGAAGAGGATTGAAATCGTTTCGAAATAAATTGGATTGCGACGCTTACGTGTGTAATATTTTTGGTATTTAAAGAACAACCTTTATCTCTTTCCTTTTTGGAATCGCGACCTTTCGAATTATCGTCCAACGTCTAATTTCATTCCCCTTTTCCCCTTTCTTTCTTTCTTTCTTTCTTTTTTTTTTTTTAGAGATACAGAGAAGCAATTTTCCAGACTTGCATAAGTTACGATCCCAGAAGAAACAGCTCGCTACTCTCATTACTTTCGTCTTACGACCGCCTCTGCCCATAGACGACCAAATATCAATTCTCGCGAGGGGTGGGCTTACCGACGCTCATAAAAGAACGGTGTAAGCATCGAGTCGAGGAAATACCGCCGCGTTATTTTCTCGTTACGGGAAGGGGGGGGGGAGGAAGGACGTCGTAAAAATGTATCTCGCGGGGTGACGGAAATCTCGAAGCAAATCGCGCGTATGCCCCACCGATTTCTCTCCTCTCCGGATTCCCTTCCCTTCTCCCTACCTTCTCCCTCGATGTTGCCAGCAAAAATTCAGCGCGATAGATATCCCACTGTCACGTATCGACGCGCGCCGATGCGACGAAACCTCTCGAGAGGTTTCTGCTCTCCTTCAACCTTCGCCCTCCCTCCCTCCTCCCCCCACGCCGAGGCGTGTAACTCCTCTACACACCTCGTCTGTACATCTGTATCCAAATCGAGAGGGGGTGGGGATTGCCGGAGGGCGAGAAAAAGGTGGCGGCGCGTGGTAATGGAATTTGACATTAGGATCGATGCCCTAGAGGAGGAGGAGGAGGAGGAGGAGGAGGAGGGAGGTAGAGGGATCTCCTAGCGCGGAGAGACGTTGGAAGCGTCGAACAGGGTGATTCCTCGCGATAAACGCGGGCGACAAGAATTTTTCACGAGGTATTTCACGAGGTTTGGATTTATATTTTTCGCGAGAGGTTTTTTTTTACGGCCCCCTCCTTTGCCTCTCCCCTTTTATTATGGTTTCTGCCGAAAAAATCCATTACGTTCGATCTTCGTTCGGATTATCTCTGACTCGTTCTCATTCGCGAACGAGAAGTATGTGTAACAAGAAACGAGAAACGATTTTCCTTTTTTTTTTTTTTTTCTTTGATTTTAAATTTTTTGCCTCGTTTCACAGATCATCCGAACGTCAAGTGTTACTTCGGCCACGGTGGCCTCCTCGGTTTGACGGAAGGTGTTCAGAGCGGGGTACCGATGATACTCATGCCTTTCTACGGTGATCAATATTCGAACGTTGCTGCGGCTCAAACTAGAGGCGTCGCTATAATCCTGGAATTCAACGATTTCACCGAGGAAAAGCTGAGAGACGCCGTGGATCAAATATTCAATAACACCAGGTACGTTTCTCTTCTCTGCCGATCCTATTTATAGCAAAAAGAAAAGGAAGAAAGAAAGAAACGAAAATAAGAAGTAAGCGTACATTTCTCGCGTCCCGATCGCGAATTTAAAATCCCTTCCGTGGTTATTTAAAGCGTAAATTCTTCACGTGTCACGTCCACCGTGATCCACCGTGCCAATTACATACGTCGTCTCGTGTCCGCTCACGATTATCGCTGTCGATGCATCGATGCTCGCGCGCAAAAAGGAGAGAAGGAGGGCGAGCGAGCGAGCGAGCGAGCGCGCGCGAGAGAGAGAGAGAGAGAGAAATCGAGGCGAAAGAGAACAAAAAGTAGGGAGAGGGGGAAGGGAGGGGACACGGTGACAAAAAAGGAAAATCGTATAATCTGGCCGGATATTCGGTCCGTTGAATATCTCACGAGCTGTCCGGGCGCTTGGATATCCGGCGAGTGCATCGTCGTTGCAACACCCCCGTTAATCCGTAAACTGGCGTTTTTCCACGTACCCTCTTCCACCCTTGTCTCTTCCCCACCCACGCTCTGCATCTCTCCTTTTTCCCTTCCATCTTCGAACGGCCGGACATTCGCCCTTTTCCCCTTTCTTCCCCCTCTCCCTTCCCTTTCTTCGCCCCCTAAATTCGAGGCACGAATCGCGGAAAGAGCGCGCTCCTGTTCTCCTCGGTCCATCGACAAATACTACGGCCGGTATAGCGGCGGTCGGTCGCATGGGAAATTTCACGGCCGCTAAATGTTTCACGGCGCGAATCAACGCCGGTGGCTCGATGACGACGACCGGGGGAAACCCGGGACGAAATTAAATTCTACATTATTCAATGGGCGGCCGGATAACTTGTTAACCGCACGCGGGGAGGGCGATTGCGTTTACGCGCGTCACGAGCACGCGACGCCGAATAATTGCTCGTTGCCCGTTGAATCTTTGAAAACTCGTGCACCTCCGTTTTCGATTTTTTTCGCCCGCTGCGAGACCCGCAGAAAATGAAACGAAACGAAACGGAAATGGGATAACCCTTGCGTTTTGCCTCCGCGCATTTTCCCTTTCCCCACTGATGATGGAATAGTAAATCCAGCTCGTATTTACTCGTAATCGTAACGATATCGTAACCGACACAGAAGAAGAAGAAGAAGAAGAAGAAGAAGAGGAAGAAGAAGAGGAAGAAGTGGAAGAGAGAAAATTGAAGGGAGAGAGGGGAGAATGGAAACGCGCGTTGGCCAATTTCTGGAATGGCGAACCACGATTTAATTACGATGGCCCGGCACGCGAGTCTCGAAGGATGAAAGCGGCTTAATAAATCAGCACCGGATATGAAAGCGTTGGCAGCATCGCGATCAACGGACCCCGTACTACTACTGTGTCCTGGTAATTACGACAGGGTTGGATTTACGAGCTGGCCGTCTTGAACGGAAAGGAGGGGAGGGAGGGTTGGAACAGAGGATGCTCGTTGTCCGTGACAATGCGATTGTATCCCCCCTCCCCTCCCCCTCTACTCCACGCCTTGAATATTAATTAATAAATAGAGCCGCGTAATTGGATGATCGCACGATTTGCACGATCGTCGTCCGTGTTACGTGATCGAAATACAGGAAGGGGAGGCGTGTGTAATCGTCCGTCTCGATCGCGACAATCGATTCGTCGGATTCGGCGAGAATTTGAACGGGTGCTGTCAACGGGCGTTGAGGAGGCGTTGCTTCACCACGCGCTATTATTCCGTGTGGAAAATTGGAAAATTTTCGCAACGATTCGATCGTTGGCGGATCGAGCATATGCTCGTCGCGCAAGGACAGAGGCAAGGTAAACGCGGCGAGATCGGGAACGTGGCTCGCGTGTCGCCGCGCAATCGTCGAGCGCAACGTCTCATGCATGCGAGTGATATAAAATTAACCAACCGATTTGGAAACAGTGTTAGCCTGGGCGTGCTTGTTGTCGTGGCGTGCTGCCGTTTCGCCCGCGTAATCACCACTTTTCCTTGATTTATGGGCCCTGGTTTCTTGCCTTCGTTCTGGCCAACTACACGAGTTGGCCAAGTATAAGAAAGTCGTCGCGGATAAACGCCATAATGGTTGGACGATAGCCTCCGATAGGAACGATGAAAGAGATAGGTTATCGTCGGAGGGGGAGGAGGGGGTCGGTTAAACGCCCAATAATGGCCCGATCGAGATCGCGAAATTCCAGGGTAGGACAGTGTCGGACAGTGTGGCCTCCATAGATTCCGTTCCTCGGCCGCAAACCGTCATCCTTTGGTACTCTGGTTGATCGATGCGATCTTAAAACGTTATAACCAAAGTTATATTATCGTTCGCGACTTCTCGAGAGGGAAGAGAGGAACGAGACAGAGAGAGAGAGAGAGAGAGAGTTCGTGACCCGTGTCACGAACGACGTGCTGCCGCTCGTTCGATCTCCAGTTTCTCCTTTTGGATCCCACGAGGCGACGCCAAGTGGTCATTCAATCCCCAAACTTGCCCGCGCATGATTTCGCTTGTAAGCCAACTTGGAGTCACAGCCATTTCGGTGGAGATCAAACGACGTACACGGCTACTCCTCCCTACCCTCCCCGCCTTCAAGACGATCATATTCAGCTTGTACTTGCACGGCACTAACTGTACGATCGTAACGATTCCATGCTCTCACGGTTGGACAATAAACGTCGTGGAAATTTCGTCGAATTTATCGAGCCCTGGAGACATTCCAACCGTTCTTCCAGGTGACACGACCAATTATTATCACATATACACACCTTCTTCGCACCTTCTTCTTTCCTACTCCCTCGTATCTATGATCGAAGGTTTTTCTTTTTTTCGCGTGTATAATTAGCGTTACGTTAATTTTCCATTTTCTCTGCTCCGAAGAAGAGAACGTACGCGCCGCGAACTCGTATTTAATCACGCGTCACCAGCTGCCACCATACCTCGCTCCGGTTTCTTCCGTTGATGAAGCAAGTTTGGGGGATGATATTAAACGGTACTATCGAATTCGTCCTGACTAGGAGAATTTCTCGCAGACATGATTCGTGGATACCGTCGTGCACACCTACAGTAGAAGTAGAAGTACGTGTGCGTGTGCTCGGCGAGGCGAACAAGTTGCCACACAAGGAGCCAGTAGTCGGAAGGATGGTGGGATGGAGGGTGGTAGTCAAAGTTTCGACAGTTTGTAAGGAGGTACGAGAAGGCACGCCCCTGTTCCCCTCCTCCTCCTTCTTCTTCGGTTACGGCTCAGGGATAACATAGTGCAGCTCCGTCGTCAACTTAGCTCCATTCTCCCTCTCCTTCCCTCTCCTCTGATCTTTTCCTTTCTTCCATACTCTCGTCCTCTCCGCTTTTTTCCCACCCATCTTTTCAGCCCGTTCACTCTGCTCTCTCTCTCTCTCTCTCACGCCTTTATTGCCCCCCTTCTTATTCTCCTCCTTAACCCTTTCGCTTCAGTTTCACGAAAATTCCATTCGCCCCCGTGCGCTCGTTTTCCGGGACATCCCCTAGCTGGATTTATTTTTCGAGAGGCAGAGGAGATTCTTATTCCTCGCGCGGCAGAAGAAGGAGGAGGATACCTTCGTTTCTGCGGCTTCGACGACAGTGCTTGGCCGCACCTGTTCGCTCGTAAGGGACGAAGTAATGGCCGGAGAGGGAAGAGGGGTGGATGGAAAAGCGATGGAAAAGACGGAAAATATAGGGGATATATATATATATAGGGGAAGAGGAGTGGAGAAAGGAGTGGAAATGAACGCAAGGTCGGAGGAGACGCTGCGTAATGACGCGTGGAACGTCCCCGCGTGGGACGAGAAAGTAATTGGACGCTTGCCGGGGACCCCTTTGATGAATGGGGCGAACGTTGGGGAGCAGTAGAACGCAGCCTCGCCGAAACCTCTGATCGATGCTTCTTAAAATGGAGGACCGGTTGCAGATTCCTCCAAGATCTTATTCGCGGTGCCGAAGAGGATATCGTGGACGACTTTCGAGAGAGAAGGTTGTGGAGAGAATTGGACTCGTAATCTCTTTGTTTTTTTCGGGAAGGGAATTTGGAAGAAATTGGCGTGGTTGGAAACGAGAATTTTCAAGCGCACACGCTTGTAGAGTACCTCGATAAGTTAACTCGATTTAGGCGCAAAGTTCGATGTCGTTTCCCCCCTCGGATGACCACGCGTCGGATTAAAAACTTGCTTATTTGCAAATGGAATTTTCGCGTCTGCTGGTATTACATTTACCAGGAATATATTCCGTTGTGGAGTTATAGTCGCGGGGCAAAAAGCCGGCTTTCACGGATCCGCTGAATTTCATTATTTAAGTTACGTGTACGGGTACAAGTGTTTGAATAATGCATTCGGCTCGATGTACATGAAAGCCGCATTTAGAAACCGTCCTAATACAGACGTTCACCACCACCGTCAACCTAACATCTTTATACTTGCTCTCTCTCTCTCTCTC